TTCCTCCCTCTCCCAATCTCGCTCGCCTCTCTCCTCCCTCACCAAATCTCGCTCGCCTTTCTCCTTCCTCTCCCACTCTCGCTCGTCTTTCTCCTCCCTCTCCCACTCTTGCTTGCCACATATACAAATACAGTATAATATACAATTATCTAACTGATATTCATATACAATTCACCTTTCTTCCAGTCTTTTCCCCCCTCTCTCTTGCCTCTCTCCTCTCTTTTCCAGTCTCGCTCACATCTCTCCGCCATATAACTATGAATTGTATTTATCAAACTATAACTAAGGAAAATAATTAAGTTATTTTTAAGTGATTATAGGTGAAAGTTTCCAAAAAGAAACTCTCATCCTGTTTTTTTTAATAAAAAGTTAAAATAATATTTGTTTTGAAATTACAGAGAGAGTAATAACTTTTATATTTCTATGCTTAACTATAATTAATAGTAATTCACTTGTATTTAGGGAGAGGCCCTTGGTCGAGCAAAGAGACCAATTAAAGAACAAGTGTTCACAAAATAAAAGTCAACCCCGTGGTTGAACATTAACTAAACTTTTCGTAAAACACGCACGATGTCTTAATTTAGAATCAAATATTATATTGGATAACTTAAGGAAACCTATTTTGAAAATTTCAACGCTCTAATCTATACGTTGACTTGTTATAATTTCCACTGACAGTACTTTACCCTTTGATTAATGGCTTTGAATTCTCTTACTTTATTCTTAATTATGAGATATTTCTTTAAATAAATATTTCTATTTCCTTTTAACTAATAAACACTATACTTCTTCGAATAATAAGAATGGATTTCGAAATAACATAATCCATCAACAACTTCTTGACTTTCTAAAACGTTAATATTTTAGAACAAATACAATTTATTGTGCAATTAATAGTATGGACAAGAGAAACTGTATTTCCAGCAATTTTTTATTTCAAATTATTTATCATAATTTTTAAAATATAAGTGTCTCAAATTAGTTTTGTTTTGGTATTATAAACACCATAATAGAGTAAACATTTAATGAAGCTAATTATTATACCTAAGGACATAAATGAGGGTAAAATAAGAAATTTTTTTCGTTTTAAAAAGAATGATTTAGTTTAAATTGGAATAAAATTTTTGATCATGTGATTCTAAATTAGAGTTATGTCAAATATATCAAAATATTCTTTAATTTTATGGTCTTAAACATATCACGTGAAAAGTTAAAATTATAATTTTATCAAATAAGGCCGGGAAATGAAATATTATTTTGAAACAGATTAGAAAAAAACAAATTATTTTTTTTAAATGGAGAAACAAATTTCTTCTAATTGATATTATATTTTTTGAGAGCAATCAAAATGAAAAAATATGAAATAATTTAAGAGGGAATAGTAGTACTCTCTTCCTCTGCGTTTGACTTGAAACACCTTTTTATGAGAAGCAATAAATAGAATAATAATTATCCTTTTATCACCCTTAATTATTAGTCATCTCACTCAATAAAAAATACTTCATAATAAAGATTAAATAGGTGTAAAATGATAAATTATCTATTATTTTAAAAAATTAAATAAATTAAATGTATACTTATTTTAGCATATAATAAAATAAATAAAAGTAAACTAAAGGAGTTGATATTACTTGTTAATTTCTATTTCCTCTATTTCAAATTAATTGAATTGTTGAGATATTTTTTATTTTTTAAATTAATTTAATTATTCAATTTCTGAGACTATTTTTAGAATGTTTTTCTAATTTTATTCTTCATTAATTAGTATTGAAATTAATTATTAATTATTATTTAATTATTTTAATCATAAATTTGATCATAGTTAATAAGAATTAGAAAAAACTTATATCCAATTTATGTTTTATTTTTTTCTTAAAATTAAAAATATAAAATACTTTCAATAATTTAATTAATTTGAAAAGAAAAAGTGTTTAATACAAGTATCATTTAATTTTCATATCATGATTACCATTTATGGAAGTCATGAAGGAGCACAAAAATAATGGATTTGATGGACCATGGATAATTAATAATCTTAGCGACAATCATCAAACTTACTGCGTTGCAACCACGTTGATTCATAATAATCATTTTTTTTCACTCTTCCATTTTGTTGAAGTGTTGCGGTGCAAATAGAATACTTCATTTAAGCTAATTTACTGAAACGGTTTAATTTATTATTTTTAAAAATTAAAAAAAAAATTGAAACTTGTGTAGTAGCACAAGACCATAAGTCATAAATATTTCTATCAATGAGATCGATCTGAATCATTATATAAATTAAGATAAAATTAACATTTTAAAGCTAAATTATTATTAATATAAATGTGTTATTTTTTAAATTTAAAAAGGAAAAGTGAGTCATGTATTCCTTCCGTCTATTTTTATTCGTCCGTTATACTATTTTGGAATGTTTAATAATACTTGTTCTACTAATAAAATCAATGAATAATTTATCATTTTATATTTATTTTATCTTTATTATTAAATACTCCCTCTGTTTCTATTTATATGTCACTATTCTAGATTTTATGTGCATTAAGAAACTATGTGAATTTATTATTCTATTCGTATTTAATTTTTTTAGTCAAATTTTCAATCAATTAATATAAATAATTTATTTGACCAATAAATATGAATTATTTAGTTATTTTTCCTAGGTTGGTCAAATATTTATTTTAAGGCTAATTAACTATCATTGTCATAATAGGAATAGTATTGAATGCATTAACTTTATGAAATGACAAGTAGTATTATAGATCAACTATTTATAGTAAAGGATGACATATAACTATGATTCGTTTTTCAATGTTTAACTGACTTATATTTAATTAGGGATGGTTTGGTTAATTACTCCTATTTACTGTTTTTTAAGCTCAATGTCAAATTAATACTCTCTCCATTTCATATTAATTGAATTGTTGAGGTGTTTCACACTCTTTAAGAAAAGAAGATTAAGATATAAATTATACATAACTTTCTATTTTATGCTTATTAATTATTGTCAAATTTATGATTAAAATAATTAAATATTAATTAATAACCAATTGCAGTACTAATTAACTAATGAAGGATAAAAATTTGGAAAACATTCTAAAATAGTCTTAAAAATTTGAAAAATGAATAATGTTTTAGAGGGGGTCGAGTATAACTACATTGAACAAAGTATTTACTCTTTTAAGGCGTCTATAATTTTATTGAACAATTTTTATAAAAATAAAATAAAAAACAATTAATTTTATTTTAAAACTCTAAATAAATTTAAAAATCACGATAATAATTTAAGACGAGGGAATAGAAGATCGCATAGAGAGATATTTTTTTCCTGTTTTTCTTTCATTTCCAACTTCCATCAAATAATTTTAATCATTTATGACATTTCTTTACTACAAAACTACCCATGTTATAATTAAAGAAAGGTATAGAAAAGTACAATTCAAAAAGATACTCTCTCAGTTGTTAAATTTTTTGTCTATTTTTTTAATAATCGTCTTTAGTTACTTGTTTATTTTGATAAATTAAGGAAGAATAATTTTTTTTTACCTATTATATTCTTAATTAAATGAGTAATCATTTTGAAAAATGTAAAAAAAAAATTATCCACTTCATAATTAATAAGAGTAAAATGATAAATTTATACGTTATTAATTATATTCTAAATATATAAGTGTATCAATTTAAAAGTGAATAAATAAAAAGGACGGAGGGAGTATGAATTAAAGGACAACAGATTTCCGCCTTCCTTCCACTTCACTTTGTTGGTTCTTTGCTCGTATTGGGTTGACAAATGTCTTCTGATCGAGAGGAAATAAATTTCTTACTTCACAAAACATGCCAAATTTATGAAAAGCATATTACTAAGTTGGGGAGAAAAAACACATTGCAAAATGAATTTAAGTCGTATACGCAAATAATATAGAGATTCTTTATGAATTATTATATTACTACTATAGGTTAAACACCGTTATAATTGATTGACTATTTTTATCAGATTTTTATTGAGAAAAATAGATTCAAAATTATTCTCAAAGAATGACAATAAACAATGCAATAATTAATTAGGCAAGAATTAGTAATGCATCTCAAAAGAAAAGACAACATATATAAGTAATGGAAATGTTATGCACGTAGACAGTAAATACCATGACAATGTATAGCAGTACAGGTAATAAACATAAAGAAGTACTTGCTCACATTTGAGATTTACAAATTTACATCAAGTCAATGAGCATATGGTTCGGGTTAAAATATACCTGCTTATTTTTTTTTATTATCGAAAAATATTTTTGTGAATATCCTTTGAATTAATTATAATTTTTTAAATTTGGTGAATAATGAATCCGTCTCTCTATTCTATTTCACTTAAGTTACGGATGCTGCATTTTATATGGTGTGAGACTTGAACATTTATGTGATTATTTTTATTAGTTCAATACTGTAAAAAACTTAATTTTCTCATCGCTTTAAAATTAAAGTAAATTAAAATTTAAATACATCAAAATATACCACTCAATCTCACAGTTTTAGACATATCACATGAAAAATAAAATTTAAAATCACTAAAAAATATTTATTTTAAAACAATAAAACAAATTTATATAATAATGATACTTTTAAAGATTTTACTAATATATGAGACCGCAAAAAAACTTCGTGCGTAAAAAGTTGAAAAGACAAAAAGTCAAGTCAGAGGGTCTACACCCTGAAGCATGCCAGAATTTTTGCGTTTTTATTACGGTTCTATTGCCTTTATGAGTTGGATATACATAAATGACAAAAAAGGTGAAACCAAAACCTAAAACATAAATTGAACATACCTTATATTATATTATTAACATCATACAATTAAAGGTACGATGACAAGTAGCAGTAATTAGTGCGACTGCACCAACAAGCACCCCACCACTATTTTGGAAACCTTAATTATGACCTTGAAAAATGATTTAAGTAATTAAAACATTTTTAATTATGAGAAATGAAAAATAAAGATAACCTTTTTCTTATAATTTAGGATTATTTTTCTTTATGTTATTTCTCTTTCATATTTTGTTAGCGCAATATTCCCCTTTTAGAAAATCTGAATTGAAAGAGACCAGCATAACTAGCGAGGTGTTTCTCGAAGCTAGAGCTTCTAGCTTTAATTAATGCCCTTTGCTAAACTCTCTGCTCATTACACATAGATCACTAAGGGGGATGAAGAATACTTCAAGATTTTGAGTTTTTTGTATACCCTTTTGGTTTTGTTTGCTTCTTTGCAACTAGGAGCTAAGATGGCTGAGGATATTTGTTTCTTCGCCAAGGTTCATTTTCTTTTCTGTAGCTCTTTTTTGTGTTTGTTAAGCTGAGATCCACCTAAAAAATTTCTTCTTTGGGTACATTTACATTTTTTGTTTGAGCTGGAAATCCAGCTCCCCCCTCTTCTTGTTTGGTTTACTTGGCGGTGCTACTATGTGTCTTTTTTTTGTGGGTTCGAACTTAATGTTATCTTGGAGTATATTCTTTTAACACAAGATATATTATTTGTGCACTTCTTTTTGTGAAAACAGAGGAAAAATTTGTGCATTCTCTTGTATTTGTTCTTCTGATTTCTGATAAAAGAAATTTTGAGTTTTCAATCTGCAAATAGGTATAAATTTTACTTTTTCAATTACTTTTAAAGACGACTAGCCTAGTCTATTTTTGGACTGTGTAATGATAATTGCTGATTAATATGTTAGGTTGACATGTGTTTGATCTATCTTATCTTGTAACCTAATTTGTGCCGGTGGTGTTGCTTTACCTCGAAATACTTGCTCTACTTTTCCCATTAAAGTTAGTGAAACGGATTGTTCCTCTCTTTTTTTCAATAAAGAACTCACCTTTCTTTATAATGGGGGTAGGGCAAAGGGAAATGTGGAGGGGATTACAAGGCGGGGATCGAACCCGCACCAACTTTAGGTAGTCAATCAACTGAGCTGGTGTTAGTGTTCCATATGTAGCATTTTTTACTTGAGTTTATTTACCTGAAGGAAACTTTTATCCTGCTTAGTATGTAATGTAAGGTTAAAATGAGTTCGTAACTTCACATTTGTTGTCTGCTTTCACATTGACCTACTGTCCTGTATTTGAATGACAGGATAGTATAATCATAAAACCTGCCAAGAAATCTCCAGCATTGTTAAGGATGGTGGTTGTAGCGTTTACGCTGATCTTTGGTATTTATATCTGTTCAATTTGTCTTAAACAAACTAGCTTGGAGAATACAAGTAAATACTTGAACATTGAAGTCATGGAAAAGCCTTGCCATAACTATGACATGGATCAATCCCAAATTCCATATGTGCATTATCCGAAGCCAAAAACTTTTAGCCGGTATGTACTCCAGAAATTTCGGTTTGGTTTTTAAGTTTCTGTCTTACATAAATTTGCCTAAACTAATTTCATCTGCATTGTTAATTGACTCAGGGCTGAATGTAGCTGTAACCCTGTTCGGCGCTTTGCCATTCTCTCAATGCAAAGGTCTGGGAGTGGATGGTTTGAGACACTATTGAATAGTCATATGAACGTAAGCTCCAATGGTGAAATATTCTCTGTCAAATATAGGAGAGAAAATGCTTCTTCAATCCTGAGGACATTGGACACAGTTTATAATTTGGACTTCTTTACGAGTGCTTCCAAAAATCACTGCTCAGCTGCAGTGGGCTTCAAGTGGATGCTTAATCAGGTAATAACCTTTGTTACCTTAAAACTATCCCTTGTCATCCTTCAGATTCTATATTTTGGATAACTTGTAGGTACAAATGAATATTGTGCAGCTAAGGGTAGGCCTCTCTCGAACTCTGCTATAACTCCACATCACTAAAGTTATTACCTGACAATTTACTGCTTGGGACAAAGAAGTACATTCATATTTGTGCTTCTAGAAGTAACTTTGACAATTTCAGAGTACTCAAATGCAAACATCAAGAGTGTATGCCTTCCTTAGTGAAACTGAAAAGTTTCACCGAACTGTTAAGACTAGTTAGTGAGATGATAGGTTTTTGTTAATATTGATATGAGAGATAAAAAGGGCAAAAAACTTCTTTATCTTTCAATTAACTTGGTTGATAACTGCCATTGCAGGGGTTAATAGAACATTATAAGGAAGTCGTTGAGTACTTCAATAGGAAGGGTGTTTCCGTGATATTTCTCTTTAGAAAGAATTTACTGCGACGTATGGTTTCTGTTCTTTCAAATTCCCATGACCGATATGCCAAACTCTTGAATGGAACACATAAGTCTCATGTGCACTCACATGAAGAGGTATCTTCTTGCATCCTTCCCTCTTTATCGTTACATGCATATACAGATGAACACAAAATTATACAATCTAATCATTTTGCTGCTTTACCCAGGCTGGTACTCTTGCGAAGTATAAACCAGAAATCAATACAACATTGTTGATCACAGATTTGAAAAGAATGGAGGTTTCTGCCACGGAGGCACTGGACCACTTCAATAGCACTCGACATATGATTCTGTATTATGAAGATATTGTCAGAAATCAAGCTGTAAGAATCTCAATTTGAACTCCTCTCCGTTGCAATTTGTTTGTCTTACTTCCCTTTTTAGTGCGTTTCAAAAGGAATGTCTCGTTCCTCTTAGGCAACCCTTTAATTCCAATTTGGCACATTCTATTGTTTAAGATCACAAAATCAGAAGTCCTATTTAGCCTGCATTTCTAAATCCATTAGAAATCCAGGGAGTTTCAGTATTTACTTATTCAAACTGTAAATTTAGTCGAGCTTCTGTAACTTTCCCTTTTCCGAAAAAATTAGAGGCTTTTTCAGTAGCTTTTTTTACGAGTAACTTCCATTGCTTGTTATGGTGAAGAGACCAGTGTAGTAATTTTTTTGCAATCTTGTTTCATCAGTTTTGCTCATGTTTCTTGCTTTTAAATGCAGAAATTGGTAGATGTTCTTGAGTTTCTAAGATTGCCTAAGATGGATCTAAGTAGCCGTCAAGTGAAGATACATAACGGGGCATTGTGGAAGCATATCAAGAACTGGGATGATGTGAACAAGACCTTAAGTGGAACAGCTTATGAGAAGTTCCTCCGAGGTGATTATTAATTTCTGACTTATCATTTTCATTGATCGATGAAGGAGGTGTAGATATCAACTTTGTTTTCTTGTAAATGCTGACTGGTGTACTCTCAACTTGGAAAAGCTTCCTGCTGCATTTGCCTCTGAAGATCAGTCGAAATTCAGCATAGTACCAAGTTTCACTCTCATGTATCTCTAGTGTTTTTTTCTCCCTATTCTATTCCACATTGAAGTGTGCATAGTGAAGTAGCTAAAGTTGGGCAGTGCCGAAGGCAAGTAAGTAGTCATAAATCAATATTTCTCTCTTTGTTCTTTTCCGTTTTGTAATTTAATAAAGTAGCTAGTGAGATGTTATTTTCTACTTGAAATTGGTACTAAATGATTTTGATTAAGGGTCCAACAATATCTTGTAACTCTTTTTGTGTTTGATAAATGTTCAATTCTTTCATGTTCCTATTTGCACAGCTGAACAGAAGAATTGCAAAGGTTGTCCCCTTGTCTGGCCTGACCAGAATTAATACTTGTAGTTGAACAGAGCTTAGCCCTTCAAGAATCTTGTTTCCTCTCACAACATAATAGTAATTGTTTTGTTGCAATTTGGGAAGCTCTCATTTTACATCAAATTTACCACACATTTTGGGGACTTGGTTAAAAGATAAGTTTTCAAAAATTTATCAACGGAAAGGAATTTTTAATCTTGCCAAATAGGTGTGAGTTGGATTCTCACTTATTTTTTTACCATTTTGAAGGTCATGAATGTAATTTTCTGCAATCTTAAGGCCGAGATTGTACTTCCCAATTGCCTACCCACATTCGGTTCGAGTCTGGGCCCCGAGATCGAACTTACCCCAACTTGTGTGGCCCAATAAAGATTAATCCGTAATCAAGAAACGGTAACGGTCTTTGTGTAATGATCTTCAGCTACACTTCTTGAATTTGGCAAATTACTGTAAATTAATTTTTTCTTTACTATATTTCATTTAGAATATCTTATAACATCACTCCAATACGTAAAATTATTTAATAAAATCATAAACTTAATGAACTAGCAATAGAGAGGGAGTGCGGGAGTAATGATATGCAATGTGGGGGCAGAGCAGATTGAAATAATCTTTTTTAAAATAGCGTAAGCCGGCGGTTTGGCCTGAGTAAAAAAAGAAACGAGAAAATTACGCAGTTAAATAAATTTATATTATTTAGTTACTTAACATAGCTATAGTTTGTTATAATTAGCACTTGCGACTAACATTATATATTAATTACGTGGGTTGACTTCGAGTTTGTATAATTAACCACGTTTATATGTGTATAACTCGCCAGAATATACAAATAAATATGTCTAATATACAATTATCTAACTGATATACATATACATTTTACCTCTCTCCCACTCTCGCTCGTCTCTCTCCTCCCTCTCCAATCTCTCCCGCCTCTCATATTCCTTTTCCAATTTGGCTTGTCATATATACTAATGCATATGTATAATATACAATTATCTAACTGATATACATATACATTTCACCTCTCTCCCACTCTTGCTCGTCTCTCTCCGCCCTCTCCAATCTCTCTCGCCTATCTCCTTCCTCTTCCAATCTGGCTTGTCATATATACAAATGCATATGCATAATATACAATTATCTAACTGATATACATATACAATTCACCTCTCTCCTCTCTCTCTCCCAATTTCGCACGCCTCTCTCCTCCTTCTCCCAATCTCGCTCGTCTCTCTCCACCCTCTCCCAATCTCGCTTTCCATATATACAAATACATATGTATAGTTTACAATTATCTAACCGATATACACATACAATTCACCTCTCTCTCACGCTTTGGACTTCTCTCCCCTCTCTCCTCCCTATAACATGTAGCTACAAATTATAATCATCAAATTATAATTACGAAGAGTAATTAGGCTATTTTTGAGTGGCTATATGTAAAAGTTCCTCAAAAATAAAAGCTAAAAGTACCTTCATTTATGAATAATGACAGAAAATAGTTGAAACATGTCACAAATGATTCCTGAATTAGTGAAATAGGTTTGGAATGATCGTTTAATTATATACTTATCGGATTTAGTTTTTTTAACTATTTCAAATATTATCGAATTTAGTCACTTAACTATAAACTTATTGATTTTAATCTTTTTGAAGTATTCAAAATTTATTATGTTCGGTCTCTGTCTATTTTCTTATAAAAATATCGTAGGATTATATAAACAAAACTCATGTCTTTATGAAATTAAATAGATTTAACTTAGTCTTAACAATTCTAAATAAAGTTTTCCTTCTTTAGTGGTTAACGGCTCATACTCATCATTTTTAAAAAAAATCATATAAGAAAATTAAAAATTACTATAAAAACAAGTTTTTCACCAGTTCCTGAATAGACTGATAATTTAATTTGAATGTCAAGATTTCACGTACATATGAATTACATTTTTTTTTTTAAAAAAATGAATTACATTGATAAATTAAATACAAATTAGCATTTAACTTCTTAGTTCCCTTTAAGAGAGTGACCAATCCCAGGGCTATGACCATCGGGGTGACCAGGGGGTGGCGGTGGAGATACCGTCTGAACCAGACTAGTTGGCGGTGTTGGGGTTGCAATTGTGGCCACATAATTGTGACTTATTAGTACCTTCTCAAATGTTGCTGATTTTACTGTGTGAACATAAGGTCTAGAGGGATTATTTGTATTCTCCAACTTCAAATGTCTTCCCTCAATAGATTGAATAATGTGGGAGAAGATCATTGCAACGAAAAGATTAACAAGGATCAATTTGATTAATTGAGCCATGAAGAAGATAGATAATAGAGAGATTAATGCAATTGATGTTATAGCTAGGAGTGCTTAAACTCTATTCTCCCTGTTGCTATTTATAGAAAAAAGTTAGCAACATGAGGGTTATTGAGAGTATATTCTCACATGCATGCATTACACAAGAAAATATATTGGACATGGACAACCTTTTTCTTTTTGTTCACAAAACGTGTATATATACATGTATTTTGTTAATTAACATTTTTGAATTAATTCAAAGCTCATTTAATGAACTAACTAATTAATTCAGAATCGCATCTGGTAGGCTTCTAAGCAAGGATCCCTGCCGACAATTTTTTTTTTACAAGGCTCGAGACCGTTGACTAATAAGGGTGGGGATCCTAACCATATCGCACTATAACTATAATAAAAATAACTTTAAGCGGCATTAAATATTGATATTAATAAAGTGTGTTAAAGTCTTTACCAGCATTAGTAAAGTGTCATTAGAACCGATGTCACTAAAGACTTAAGGGACATATACAAAGAGTGACAATTGCCGCTAAAAATATATATTTAACGGCAATTAAGAATATTTTCATTGTGGTGTACACCTCCCAATTATGGTATGGAATGTGTACATATTGAATGTATGGAAAATATTGCAATAATAAGGTGTCCTCTATTTTTATGAGCCATGCAAGACTATATATCCCTCCGTATATATTATAAATCTTTTTTTTTTTATGTATGCTAAGGACATAATTTTGTTGGAAAATTAGACTTCTGAGAGCCCACCGGCCATGGAATCAAAATATTGTTGTCCTTAATCCTTAATACTATATAGTATATTGGATTGTTTGTATGTGCTCCACTGGCTACCCTCTTTTTCAGTTCTTTATACTAATAATATATATCAGTGAAGCATGCTCACTTTCCAACTGGAGAATCTCATAATATTTTCTCTACTTTGCGGCCTACCTACTATGCACTCTCTCCAGACTCCAGTCCAATTTAGTTATCGTGCTTATGAATTATAACTATCTAGTTTTTAAGGTAAATAACTCAACACTCAATCAAATGCACCATTTATCATTCTTGTACTGTAGGTGTCAACGAATACTATTATACCAATTTTAGAAAATACAAAATACTCAAGATAACTGCTAGATGTGATCACTACGTTAAAAATGATTATTAGCGACAATTAATTCTTAATTGTCGCTAAATATGTACTTTTAACATTTTTTATATATGTCTTTAAAATTTTTAGCGACATTAGTTCTAATGACACTTAACTAATGCCGCCAAAGACTTTAACACACTTTATTAATATCAGTATTTATTGCCGCAAGAAGTTATTTTTGTTGTGGTGAACTAATATCGACCATAGAACATGAGAATAGGCAAAATAAGGAAGAAAAATTATAATGGTAATGTATAGTTCTGGTGGTGTAATTAAAAGAGATAATCAGGCCAATTAAAAGTGAGATAGTTATCTTATAGACATTAGACGGGGTTACTTATTACACTAGGTAAAAACAAATATGCAAAAGATTCTTTATATCATCTTTTTGTAATGGTTTATACTATAGTAACCATTTGATCTGCCAACAGCACTCATGTATCACAGCCTAGCAAAAGCTGAAATGAAATTCTCTAATGTTTTCTAAGTAGTTTATAGCATTTATCTTTTATGTCTTGTGCAATTTGGTGGGCCAAGTGCTAGAGAGATACTTCCACGACTCGAGGAGCCAACTTTAACATGTCCTTATATAAAGAAAATCATTTTCCAATTTCTATTCATTGAGAGACTTATTAAGAGTATATTTAGAAATTCGATTTGTGTGTACATAATTATACAGTTTTAAGAAAATATTGGAGAGTCAATGGAATTGAATATCCCCACTTCGTTGCTTTATTTTGACTTATTTGAAGCAATATTAACCTTTTATTTGAGACAAAGAAGAGTGCTAGGCCCCCTCACCATTAGCCAAAATCTTAGTATATAGTTTTCACTCAAAAAAATAAAATAAAAATCAAATTGACGATGTAACTCTTCATTAGAGAAAGCAAATTAAATTGCCACAAACAACAGAGAGCTTAAAAAAAAGTGATGTAGCAGTAAAATATTAAAGGTGTCACATCAATTTGAAAAATCCTAAAAAAGATTAAAGTGGGCATACTAGTTGAATTTATTAGTAAAGTATATATACTACTAAAAAGAAAGAGTCAAAGCATAGCATATATAGTAAAATGAAAGGACCACAATAAATTAAAATAGAGAGTAATGATTATTTAGCTGAGATCGGTCATTTGTCAACTATCATTTAACAGCTTATCTAAGCCCTCCATTACCAATATTTTTTTCGTTAGTGGTAGGTGCTCCTTTTAGCAATAAATATTTCTAAGGCACCCGTGCAGACCATTTTCGTGCTTTAATTTTTTAATCAAATACTATTATTTGATCAAACCAAAACTTACATCTCCAATTAAATGTAAAATGAGTTTGATTGGATTTATCAATTTCAGCTTGAACACTATATGTGGGTAACTGATTTGAAATATATGTTTCAAATAAAATTACTCAATCGAAATTTATGAGTCTGAAGAAGATTTTTTGTACCACAATACAAAGAGCTAATATAAGAATGAGATTGAGACAGGAAGAAAAGGAGCAGAATTAGCTTTTTC